CTTGGATGCGGTCCATGCCTGCATCGAATGTAGACTGTGGACATGTCCAGGTGGCTTTGTGTGCCGGAAGGCCTGGTCTGTACTCGGTGCCCTCCAACTCTTCTTCATGCTGAGCAGTACCAGATGTTACACTAGTCTCAAAATCTAAGTTTAGGGGCTGGAGTGATAGTACAGCGTGGAGGGTGCTAGCTCTGCACACAGCCAACCTGTGTTCAATCCTTGGCGCTGCCTATGGTCCCCCAGAGGTCCTCCAGGGGTGATCCCTGAGTGCAGAGACAAAAACAAGCCCTGACCACTGCCTGTTGATCCAAAAACTTAAAAAAATCAAATGCAATCTACCTTGGCTTTTGTTTCTACCTTAGTCATATCAGCTGGTGGTGAGATATTTCTCTTTTCCAGTGAGAAGGCATAAAAAAAAGTGGAAGAAAGCTTTCTCAGGCACTAGATGGAACTTTAGCTTTCCAACTTCAAACTAAATCTCTGCTTTATGGGTCACATGGATCAAACTGCCAATTTAAATACCATTGTAGTACCGGGTAGTTTGTAAATGTTTATTAAACGTCAGTATTTTTTACAAAGCAAATATTAATAGCAAGAGGCAAAAATTTTGCAAACTATGTACAAAAGTAAAAAGCCTTAATGAAACCAGCCACTCATTTTATAAAACCAAACCATTCTTATTCACATGTACAGCTCCCTTAGAAATCATTTATTGCCGGTCGGACCCCAACACAAGCAATTTTACAACAGTATCAGATCGTGTGCTTAGTTCCAGGAGTTATAAAAAGATAAATGTGTAAAAAAAATAATCTCAAGGCACAAATACTTTTATACAGAGCTAATACAAATCAGGTTTTGTTAGGTACAATAATGATGAGGTTGTTACAAAATATACTTTTGGATAAGGCTTCTCCTGGTAACTGGGCTTCTAACCACCTCGGAGAACAGGAAATCCAGAGAACATTTTGTGATTGTGCTTTCAAGTAAAGAGGTAAAAGAGACGGGAAATGGCAGTTTGTTGCATTGCTTCAGATACTTTCAAAGACTCAACCCTACCCAAGCCCTCCCTCTTTTATTCCCTGTACCATCAAATAGAATGAGTGGGGGGTAAATGCATCACTTAGGACCCAAGAAATATTATCCGTGAGCTTCTAACACAACCCCCAAACACGTAGCAAGTAGCACATTGCCATCACATGCGCTCACTGAAGATGTATGCAGGCTGGGTCTTGGCTATCACAACGCACCTGGGCATTTTCATCAACAAAAATTTGAAAAACTTATAAAATCTATCAACCCAGCGGGGGGTAGGGAACTGCCTTATCATTAATGCTTTTTGATCTGCCTATATTCTGGCATTTGAAATCAGGTTAGACCTGGATGTCTCAAGAGAACCTATTTTAGCATGTTAGCAAATACATTCAAGTACAGACAGAAGAAGGCTAGTGGTACAAACACGGTTCTGCAAGTGGGTTATCACATACCAGCCGCAGGCTGGCATCAACCTGATGGCACCAAGGGAGCCATAGAACCCAGCCTGTTTACACGGTCCCATACAGACACCTACTTCAACTTCTACTCTGCATTTAAGTCCTATCGTACCATAAAAGAATGGATATGTTCTTCATCATTCTGTATTTGGAGACACACACGCACAGCACAGACACACAACACACACACACACACACACACACACACACACCACGCTAGAATGAGAAACCGACCTGTCTCCAATTGTTTAAAAATATAATCAGTACGTCAAGCAGCACAACACATGGACAGACTATCCGTGACAAGTGACATCTACAGGTTGAAATGGTGGCCAAAGATGGTGACCCAATAGTGAGTCAGAGCTCCAGATGAAAAAGACACTGGCAAATTTCTGTTGAGATTCCTCCAATGAAACTAAGAGAAAAGAGCAGGTAACAGAGCAACTTTCTCTAGATTTATTAGGGAGTTCATTACAAATGTTTGACTGAGCTTTACAGGCACGATTTCATGGATCCAAACAAGAAATTAAGAGTTAACACTGATATTTAGTCTTCTTATTACATAAACAGATAAAACATTGCTACAAACTGCATGGGGCGAGATTCTTGGTCCAGGACTGGTTTGGGGTTTTGCTGAATGTGTCATTATATAATGAAAGCACCCGCGCGAGGGCTTCTCAGACAGTGATTTGAGCTTCAAGACGTTATGTTGGTAACTTTATTCTTTGTATAAATAAGGCATAATCAGATATGTGTACTAATGCTGAAAATACATCTTATCAAAAGCATAAATACAAGTACTTAGGTTTACACTGGAAGTTAAGATTGATTCCCTCTTACCAAAAAAAAAAATTTATAGGGCGTATGATTTCGGTTGCATTTGATTCAATACTTCTAGTTATTCTTATTTTGGTATTAAGGTAATCTTCCTTCTTTCTTTGAAACCAACCAGTGTCACCAACTGAGGTGGATTTCCTGACACAACCTCACTTGGAAGGCTGGCCAGAGGCTCTTTCCTGTGAAAATGACAGCCCAGGGCAAGTTCCCAGGAAACAGAGACTCTTCGATTCTCTGGTAGGCATCCTTTGACTGCCAAATGTCCTTTCCAGCTAATGCAACTGGAATGGAGGAAGTTCAACCTCACACAGGACTTGGCAGGAAGCAGTCATTTGGGCTATTAGAAATTATATGGAAGTGGCACGGGCATATCTTAAGGAAACATGGCACAAAACAACTTTCCCCTATAAAAATCAAGGCCCAAATCCGTGGTGTTGTTTGATTTATAAGGCAACTCTGTATATTATACATTTCCTCAAAGTCAATGAAGACACTTGTATGAGAGGTCTTAAGAAGTCACTGAGAAAGCTTTTAAATTTAGGAACAGAAGGGAATAGAAAATTAGGCACATTTTATTCCAAATCACAAGCACTAGAAAATCAAACACATAAAAAAAAATTCTAAATGATCCCTTTTAAGGGGGGGAGGGGATTAGCAGAGTGAAAACTATGAGCACCTTTGAAGTCCATCCACTAAAATTCATCTCCCTCTTCATTTAGTGGCACTTCAAAAGACTCTGTTTCCATGTTTTAGTCATCGAACTCTTAGCAAAGGGATCAAAAATACAATCTGTGAATCTGGAGACTTTCAGATGGAATCAGACGTTTGTACTGAGGGTACAAACAGGCCTGCTGTGAAACATGACACACTGTCCCCAGATTATCCTCCACGTTACTGGAAAAGAACGGAAACTCTGAGACATCACACACCTGAGGAAAGAGAATTGCAAACGCCTTGGACAAGACTCTGATCTCAGTGGTAGTTGCTATTTCTTTGTAGGTGTCAACATGGGGAAACATGGATGCTTTCTGTTTTGTCAGGCACAATGTATTATCTATATTCACAGACGTGACCTTAAATATAACTTAAATAAGACTAAGTTTCCTCTTGACACAGAACACTTAACTTTGGCCTACACTGGAGTTAAAGAAGTTAAAGTTATGCCTATTTGATAAAACTCTGTATTCCACTTACTAGTAGTGGCTAGTAGACAAAAAAGTCCAAATGTTACTGTGCATGTATTCAGATTTTCATGAATTACTCTAGTCCTGTGTATTTAATCAAATGTACTCTTCTTTTCTTTTTTTTTGGCAAGAAGCACTAGCTGAAGAACTACTCCAACATGCATGGATTCTACTCTGAGCACTTGTTAGGATGTCGGACTGCTATGCTGTAGCTCATGCATCCCCAAGGCAGGCATCCGCTGGAGACACAGTGATGGCGGAACTTCAGATGCAGACCAGGTCAGGGCTGCAACGGCCGGCCCCAGCCAGCTCTGGGGATCCCTCCTCCTCTCAGACCAGAGGGGCCCGCAGAGCAAGAGCCGCCATCCAGCAAAGGTGGGTAAGCCGTAATTCTGACCAGTCTGTGGAGGACTTTCTAGCCAACAAAATACCTGAGAACAGTCAGCAATACAGTAAAGTGACAGATATCACAGTCTTAATCACAATTTTCAGGAAAAGGAGAAAAGCTGTCAGAACTTCCTGACTGTCCCCCACGGCGGCCTTCTGCTTCTCTGTTTCGACTCTCAGCCGCCCCCCACCTCTGAGGTGGCGCTGCCTTTCCAGCAAACCAGCCCCTGGCACAGACTCGCTGAGGAGATTGTGGCGGTCACCAGGCTACTACATGGATGCGTTTCCACTGCTAAGTGGTGGTGGTGGTGGGTGGATGGGGGGTGTGGGGGGGGGGGAGTCAAACGTAAATCCTCTTCCGGCGTGAACCGAGAAAGCGACTCCTACTCACAAGCATCCTTAAGACATTCAAAAAAAAAAGGTACCTCAATAAAGCTGGACTTTTCGCGAACAATAATGATACAAACATGTACATACTGTAGTTTTAGAGACACACCAAGAATAAATAGGAATCTCAAATAATGCCTCCTTGAATAGACTTGACAAGAGAAATACTGCCCTGGCACCCTCCTCATGAACAGCCCCCCCCACACTCCAAAAAAAAAGAAAAAACACACAAAACAGTCCCTCACATGGCACAGGGCAGGGCCGTGGGAATAACCAGGAGAGCATGGAGGCCACAAAGACCCCTCAGGGAGCGAACAAGTCCCAGAGACAGGACTTGGAGTTGAGTGGAAGCCCCCTGGTCTCCAACAGGCAGTTTCTGAGACAGCCCGGCCACCAGCTTGCCCGCCCTCTTCCATGGCTGCCACGGCCACCCACAGGAAAAGGGGTACACCCGTTTCCTGCCAAGACCCCTGCTCAGCAGCCTCGCTCTGCACCTGCTCGCCTTCCACTCCCCTGTACCACTGCGAACGTCCATCGGCATCAACCAGAAACCCTTATGTAAACTTTAAAACTCGAAGAACATGACCTTCGGACACCAAAGATATCTGAGGAAGCACACACAGCAGTGGACGTCAGCGACCGGAAGAGGAGGAGGGCCCCAGAAGGCCGTTCTGCAGCCCACACTCCCCCCCACCCCGAGCCCGTTCAGGATGGGCACGGGCACTGCTGCTTATGTGAGGAACCTTGCTCAAGAACTGAGTACTCTTTAATCTCATACTACAGACACGAAAGGACACCTGCTCTACTTGGCACTACTGGAGAATTCAGTCTGAAAAGTCAGAGAATTGAAAGCCTGGGGGGCACCTTGGCAGTGGCCTGGCAGGAAACGAGGCCTTCCCCTCCCCCCAAGTGGAGTCAGAGGGAGCCCGGCCGGACCCGAAATTCAGCAGACGCAGGTGATGCGTTACTGAGCAGCTTTCAGCCACAAACCCAAGTCCGCAGAAGGACTAAGATTTCCAAGAAGTTAAACAGAGAATCAAGGCCTTTTTTTTTCCTTTTTTCCTAATTCCTATTGTAAACGGCTATTTTTTAAAAAACAAAACCAACAGAAAACAATCGAAAAGACAAAAAGCTAGGAAAAGAGCCCGCCTCGTGTCCGTCCATCACTGCAGCATGAGCTGCTTGAGGTTGTCATGAAGGATCGTGTCCTTCACGTCGCGGAAGACCAGGCGGATGTTCTCCGTGTTGATGGCGGTGGTGAAGTGGTGGTACAAGGGCTTCTGCTGCTGGTCCCGGCGCTTGTTGCGGAAACATTCCACCAAGAATTTTTGGACGTCTCTTAAGCAGTGCGGGTCTCCTTCAAATTCCAAGAAATAGTCTTTGATGCTCACGATTTGCACTTTCTCCTCAAGCAAGTCTGTCTTGTTTAGGAAGAGAATTATGGAGACATTGCTGAAAACCCGGTTATTGACAATTGTTTCGAAAATGTTCAGGGATTCTGTGAGGCGGTTGGTCAGTCGGTCTTCCATGAGCACCTGGTCAAACTCGCTTGAGGAAACGAGGAAAAGGATTGATGTCACACTGTCGAAGCATTCGAACCAACGTTTTCTCTCGGACCTCTGCCCGCCTACATCAACCATTTTGAAAGGGACGTTTTTAATTTCAAAGTCGTACTCATGGATTCCCTTGGTGGGTCTTCTGGCGAGCAGGATATCTTGTTGGGATGGAATGTAATCCTGGTAAAGAAAAAAAAATTGTTCTGTATTTAGTAAGGCAGATGGAACCGATGCTATGTTTTTGTTTCGAATCTCTTGTTAGTCTAGTGAATTAAGAGGTCAGCACAATAATATAACATCTCTGACAACGTGAAAACACCAGGGCTGGAGCAGTAGTAGAGCGGGGAGGGCACTTACCTTGCACGTGGCCGACCCAGGTTCGATCCCTAGCATCATATGGTCCCCTGAGCACTGCCAGGAGTAATCCCTCAGCATCACTGGGTATGAACCCCCCCCCCCAAAGGACCATCAGCTCCGTTCTCATTAAGAATTTTCAAGATAATACAACAAAAACTGCTTTAGGGGTCAGAGCAATAGTACAGCGGGCATCTGCCTTGCACACGGTTAACCTGGGTTCAATTCCTGGCACCCACTCTGGTTCTCCAAACACTGCCAGGATTAACTCTGAGCTCCTGAGCATCATTGGGTTTGAGGCCCCGCCCCCATAAAAAAAAAAACCCCAAACACAAGCGCTTCTAAGTCACTGCACATGAACCACACCTCCGATTTTCCTGGCTCCTGCGATGCAATCCTGCTTCAAGTCTAAGTCAACACTTCACTGCCCACCGCCATCTGTCCAACTTGCATGCTCCCTGGCACTGCCCACTTTCCATCAGAGCCCGAGTAATGAGCAGCTCACACATCCTCCCAAGCTATAAGGTATGAAATGTCCACATGGAACAACCCTCCAGTTCTTGTTCTCGATTTCTCTTCTCCACCCCCTCTACCCACCATTGTCTTCTTCCCCCTTCTTCTTGAGGGATTTTTGGACCAGGGCTGGCAGTGCTCAGGGCTTACTCCTGGCTCTCTACTTGGTGATCAGTCCTGGTGAGGCTCAGGGGGACCACAAGCAGTGCTGAGGACCAAATGGGCCTCCACTGCACACAAGTCAAGCACTTGAACCACCGAACCATCTCCCTGGCTCCTCTCTTTAGCACTTTCGAAGTAAATGGTTCCACAAGTTCACCCCTCGAAGGCCTCCCCAAATCACACTTTTACCAGGTCACTGCATGGCGCCACTTGTACTAGACAGTGTGTGTGGGAAACACTTTCTCAACTGGCGCCCATGAGCCAAACTTCCTTGGGATCCTTTCCTGGTTTCCCCAGGACAGTCCAGTAGCTGTCCCAAATTTCTCATCTGCCTGACACTGTCATAGGCCCCAGCAAGAGCTCTGCCAGAGAAATACAGGTGACCACACCTGGCCTGCCTGCCCGGAGGGAGGGTGATGCCAAGGGCGAACATGCCCGCTGGGATGGGGTCAATCTAAGACCCCGACAGAGCAGGCCTACCCCACCCCTCACCCCTCCCCACATTGTGCTGCCTTTCCAACACGAACCCCAGGCTAGTATTTTTTCAGAACTTTCAAAGAGCTTTTCTGGCCACAGAACAGAAGAGCTCTTAATGGCGGATATCAAAGTCAAGATGACTTAAAAAATTAAAAAATCAAGGCAAGATTTAAAAACAGCGCCAACCGCTACGTTCAACGCTCTACTTTAATGCCTTTCCAACGAGCGTGGCAGGGCTCTGGAAACTCACGACAATGCGTGTGCACACCTGTCCAATTGGTACAGGGGGTCCACAAAAGCGAGGAAGCCGGGAGGCCCCAGGGCCATGCAGTTCTCGGTTATCGGCAACCGCGGCCGCTTAGAAACTCGCAGTATCTAAAGCAAAGGCGAGTGCCTGACACGGTCCCCTCCGGCTTTCCTCCTCATACTTTCCAACCTGCATTATAATTAGGCAATTACACCGTGCGGCATGACTACACAAGTTTTAACCTAGCTCCAACACGTCATGAATCAGCGCCAGAGTGACAGTGCAGAGGGCAGGGTGCTTGCCTTGCGTACAGCTAGCCCAGGTTCGATCCCTAGCATCCCAAATTGTCCCCCGAGCCCGCCAGGCCTAAGCCCTGACCCTGAACACTGCCGGGTGTGCCTCTCCACACCTGTCCCCCAAATTTTCATGTATGACCCCAAATGCTGACACGGCTATGTTTCTTTTAAATATATACATCAAATGAATTAATTTATAGAAAAAAAATTCTACTAGCGATCCTTTGGGTTCTTTCCAATTTTTTTTTCTTTAACAGAAATGGCATGATTAGGATCTGGAGAGAGTACAGCTGGTAGGGTGCTTGCCTGGCATGCTGTTTGATTCTGGTTCCCTATATGACAGATCACCTGAGAACAGAGCCAGGAATAAGTCCTGAGCACAGCCAGGCATGCCTCTTCCCCTCCCCCAAAAAATCAAAATTAAAAAAGTGCCATCATTAAAATTTCAGTTATAGTCTTCATTTTTTCTTTGTAGCTACTTCCTGAGATGAAACAGACTAAAATCAGAAACTAGAGTCTGAGGTCAAAGGTTATAAGCATTTTAATGGCCCTGAACACTGAGTGCCCCAAAGGTGGGACCAACTGACCATGCAGAGGCACGCCCAACCCCAAACACACCAAGCCTGAACTGGCTCTGGAGTTTTTCTAGTTTACAGAGAGAAAGGGTTCTCTGCTACTGCTGTGGTAAGCGAGGACACTAAGACTAACCCACACAAAGCACAGGGCACGGGCACTAGGGTCCAAGCGCAGGATGTGCAGGGGGAAGCAGTGGGCTGTGAATCCAAGAGCCCACGCTCTGCAGCCTCCGTCTGACCTGGGCAGAACTGCCACTGAGCCTGCACATCCAGGCCCCACTGACCGTGTCCTCACAACCGATCACTTAAAAACCTAACCCACAATAGGACCGGATATGCTCCAGGGCTTTTAGGAGGAATGTTTAGATGAGGTTGTAAGGTCAAAGCACACAAGACTGGCTAAAAGAGGAAACGTGTCTCTCTCTCTCTCTCTCTCTCTCTTGTACTGTCTCTCGCTCTCTCCTCCCCCTCCTCCCCCCTCCTAATCCATGTGATGTGGGGCCCTGGCAAGGCCAGGCTGTGCTCTCACCAGTTCTCGCCCGGGCTAGCACCTTATCTGGGGCTTGCAGCCTTCAGAGCTGTGAGGATGGATCCCTGCTAAGACAGTCTCTGGTTACTTTGTTAACGGCAGCCTGCGCCAAACAAGGCTCCAGCTTTGATTCCCACACTCCCAGGAGCTCATTCTCTTACTGCACCGATTTGCCAGCTGAGAATCCCAAGCCCCAAGATGCCCAGGGTCAGCATGAGCGAGCATGGCGCACACCTGGGACCCTCAGAACAGGCTGGCTGCAGTGTCTGTCCTCGTTCCCGGAAGGCCAGGGGGCTGAGAACAAAGCAGGAGTCAACAGCCCTGGCACTTGTGTGAAGGTCGGGGCAAGGGTGCTGAGCTGTGGGGAACACCAGGGTGAGTCCCCCTTCCTCTGGACAGCTCCTCACTGATCACAGTACCCGCTAAAAAAATATTTTGGAGGGCTGGAGCGATAGCACAGTGGAGAGGGCGTTTGCCTTGCACACAGCTGACCCAGGTTCAATTTCCAGCATCCCATAGGGTCCCCTGAGCACTGCCAGGAGTAATTAATTCCTGAGTGCAAAGCCAGGAGTAACCCCTGTGCATTGCCAGATGTGACCCAAAAAGGAAAAAAAAATGTTTATTTTTGTTCCAAACATGGTATCAGTCTTGCTCCCAGGGAGAGAGTCTAAAACACCAGCCCAAACTGACCAGAGAGGGGGGCTGGATTTGCTGAGGGGCCATGACACGCCCTGCATTGTCACGGGAGTCAGAAACTTTTCACAACTGCAAGATGACTTTCTGGCCCATATAGAGAGTGGGAGCGGCAGTGTGGTGAAGATCGTAAAAGCAACGGAAGACAAGGCAGGGTCACTGAGACGGGTGTAGAGGACCCACCTGGATGGTGTGTGCTCAGGGCAGGCCCCCCTGCAAAGGCAGATGAGAGGCCCAGGCACACAAGCACCCCCTGCAGCAGGAAACACGGAGGAACCCTTCCTGATCAGCTCATTAGAGCTGGAGACATCACACAGTGGGGAGGCGCTTGCCTGGCTCATGGCTGACTCGGGTTTGATCCCGGCAATCCATAGGGTCCAAGGTACCGCCAGCAGCCCTGAGCACCCTTGGGTGTGACACACACACACACACACACACACACACACACACACACACCACTCTATCTACTATGGCTTCTTCTCATTTGGTTGAAACTTAAACTTCCTAGGTCTTCATCAAGGGGGAAATACAAAAATGATCCAACTAGAGCAGAAAGAAGGCATTTCCCTCCGTCCTGGTGTCTGAGATATGAGATGTTATTTTCCTGCTTCCAACAGTTTCATTTTGAGTATGGCTTCTGTTAAGTTTTAAAGTTACAGACCTCAGTAACACATAGGATACATTAAATAATCTGTAACAGAAATTTGCTGAAGAGGAGGGATATGAGGGGATACTAAGTTCAGTTGATAGCAAATAGCTCATGGGTCCATGCAAACTTTTTTTTTTCCCTTTTGGTGGCGCTGGAGGTACAACCCAGGGCCCTCCACCTGGGAGACAAACGTTCTCTCCACACACAAGCTACCTCCCAGTCCATCGGCAAACATTTTCTGGCCATATCCAGTGATGCTCAGGGGTTTCTCCTGTATTCAGGGGACCATGTGGGATTATGTGGGATGCCAGGGAATGAAGTCGGGGCAGCCACGTGCAAAGCAGCAAATGCCCTACCTGCTGTCCTATTGCTCCAGACCAGGCCTACCAACATTTTCTAGGCAAGCGGCCAAGGCCTTTTTTCCAACGGCACCTTCCTGTGTGTCTAGCAGAGAAGAAACTGAACCTGCCCTTCTGCAGAGTGTGAGAGCGGCGGGCATAGCTGGGCCAGGCCACAGAGACACAATTGAGTCTTTGCAAGGGCAGGTCCTGATCCCATAGGGCGGACGGCGTCTCTTCAGTGGTCTTCCCACTCAGCCCTCCTGCCTGGCAAAGCAACGGGCACCACAACTACAGAAAATTTTGGTTTTTCTGTTTTTTCTGCTTCTGCTTATTTAAAAAAAAAAAGAAGAAGAAAAGAAAAAGACACCAAAGTAGAGTCAGTCATGCACAATCTCCTTTTCAAATATACTCATCTTTCTCTAAGCTACTTCACAGTGTAGAAAGAATGCATTCCTCCAGGAACGGGCAGAAGAGAATGGCAGAGAGGAAAAAGAAGCATTCCAAATGAAAACTAGAAATGGATTTGCACTTTGGAAAAATGAAAAATCTTTCCATTTTCTTAGCAAAGAATTACTCTCCATTTCAATTCCTCCAAAACAAAGCACGAAGAATCCAAATTCTGGGAAATAGGAAAAAAACACTATCTTAACACATAATTAAAAAAAAAAAGTTTCTCAGCACTGATATCCTGACTACTGCACTGAAATGGTAAATAAACAAACCTGCAATTAAAAAAAAAACTTACTTGTTCTCCAAGTTTCTCCAAGTTATCCAGGAAATATTTTACAGATTCACCCTAAAAACAAAAAAAGAAAATATATAGTTATTAGGACTTAGAAATGCAAGTTTGTTACAATAGTTTATACTACACCGTCTGGCTGTGCACATAATCCAAACACAGTTTGTTCAGTCGCCAATTTCAGACAGAGCAGCAGAACCCACTAAAACATATAAAATGTCCGCTTCTGCCCCAAAGTGCTCAGCCTGGCTCTTCTCAAAATGTCTCAGAGCGGGTAGGAGCAGCAGCACAGCGGGGAAAGCACTTGCCTTGAACACAGCCAACCCAGGTTCGATTCTCGGCACCCTGTCTGGTCCCGAGGCCCTGCCGGGGGGGGGGGGGGGGGAATCCCTGAGCACAGTGTCAGGATCCCTGAGCACAGCGTCAGGAGTCAGGCCTTGAGCAGCGCTGGGTGTGACCCCTTCCCCCGCCCCGAATAAAAAATGCCTCAAGAGTGAGCACCCTCGACAAGCCTCTATTTGGCTGAGATTAATGCAAGCATGCTTTGTGACAGAAACATAGAGAAGGCACAAATAAGAAGTACAAACTTTTCTGATCCACTGAACCCTACAGTTGGAATGGGGCATCACTTTCGCCTACACCGTCCTGCTCGTACAATGCTGGGCAGCTCCAGGGACAGAAGACAGCTAAGTGGAGAGGCCAAGCATGATCCAGCAGGCCTCGACCCGCAGTTCCCCCCACCCAGATCTCTCCAGATCTGGGGCAGTTTCAACCCCCTGCTCTGGCTGCCGACACAAAACCCACAGAGGGAGAACTGGACCCTCAGGGGAGAGCAGGGGGTCCGAGTCTCGTGGCCTGGGCAGCTTTCCCCTTTCCCGCGGGCGTTTGTGTACTCGCCACCCGGGGTTTTGGTACTTCAGGTGATTTCTGGGGCGTCTGGAGTCACGAGGTCTGGAAGCAGCAGAGCTCCGACTTTTGGCTCTCGGGTTTCCATTACGCACCCCGAGATTCTTGAGTTTCTCAAAGAGCTTTTGTTTATATGCGCCATGGCTATCAGTGTTTACTGGATTAGAGAGTAACGGCAAACTTTTACGGGAAATTTATTCCTTCTAAAGTATCACGAATAAAACACTCCACGTTCCAGCTCTCTCGACAAGACAAGGAACTGCTGCTATAGGCTGCTCAGGCAAAGCACAGGCGGGAATCTGTTGTTGGTCAGACAGAAAGGCAGCTGGGGAGGGGGAGAGCGCCAGGGACCAGGTGCGTCTGAGTCCAGGGCCAAACTCGGGCCTCCTTCAGGCAAAGCATGCCCCTTGGACGTCTGGGCTCTCGCCCTAGCCTGGGGAAGTGTTTCAGATCATTGGGAACTTTTTTTCTCTTGCTATACCCTAAAAGAAGTGGCTTTTCGAAAGCTAGTTCACTGTGGAAGAGAAGCCATACCCCTCGTTACATGAAGACTCACTGGTCTCAGCCGGGACAGGCTCGGCTGGGAGCACTTGCCGTGCGTGGGGGAGGCCTGTTCAGGCCGAGGGACGAAGGCGACTGTCGTAGCCCTCAATTGTGTAACATCAGGGCTGATCATTCACAACCTTCGTTTCTCAACTGCCATCTGGCCTCCACAGCCCCTAGGATATGCCAAGGGGCCACGGGTAAAAACTGCAGCAACTGTGGGTGGGTGGGGGGAGCAGTGCACAGTTGAGCAGGGGGGTGGCGGGGGGCACAGGGAGGAGCGGGGAAAAAAGGCTGGAAGGGAGCCAGGGTCAGGAAGAGGCTGAGAATAGCTGCTCTAGAACCCAGGTTATCGGAGTGACATGGGTTTTCCAGTGACGCACAGGACCATTACACAATATGAAGAAACCTGCACGGTGACTCTATCCACCGCAGGAGCTCTGGGGAAGCCACTGGCTCACCAGGACAGGCGAATTCACACTTTTCTGAAAACCTGGGCTTTCTCGGGTATCTGTTTTCCACACACAAGCCTGCACTAATGGCTATAAATACTAATTTCCTTCGAGTGACGGGTTAACTGCATGAAGTCACTGAAAAATGTCGCATGTCCTTCCCCAGGAACAGGCCGATGAGCACAGCTCACAGTCCTGGCTGTCACACAGTGCTGTCCCTCAGCTGGCCGTCCTGCGGAGAGGGCGTGCAGAGCTGTGCACTGGAAGCAACAGTCCAGAGGGGGGCGGGTGTCCAGCCCCCACTACTCTGGACCATCAGGGTTAATGGTAGCAGAGTGGACCCGAGGAAGGAAAAGCGCCTTTGCTTCATCAGAAAGAGGGAAAAGGTTTCCAGGGGCCCCTAAAACCTGTCGCCTCCCCCCCTAAAAGTGCTGGTGATTCCCAGTATCCTTGTGGAGGTGGTGGGGAAGGGGGTGGGTGCTCGGTGCCATCACTGAAAATGGCCCGTTTTCAGCTATAGTGTTTAAGGATCAAAGAAGGGTTCTTGAGAGAGGGGAAAAGAAAAATCATCCAGGAATTCACTTGGGGTTAATGATCAAATCTGGGTATTCTGTATTTTGTTTGGTTTTTTTGGGCCACACCCAGCAGTCCTTGGAGCTTACTCCTGGTAGGGCTCGGGGGACCACCTGGGGGTACTGGGGATCGAACCCCTGTCTGCTGCATCAAAAGCCCGACCAGCTGTACCATGGATCCATTCCAGGGGATTCATTTTAACGAAGAAACTATACTCTTTGTGTTCTGATGGATAATCAGCAAAAAAGAGTATCTGAGATGATTAATCTTTAACATCAGCATTTACTTACAGAATTATTCGTACAACTCAAAATAAGACTGCAGATGTAAAGCACTTAGAAAATAAAATTCTGTCCTGAAAAGAGAAGCACAGGCATTAAGGTGCTTCCCCCACTGTGGCTGGCTCCAGGTCAAGCCCAAAGCAGGGCCAGGAGTGGCCCTTGAGCCACAGCTGGTGTCCCCCTCCATTGAGTAAAGCTCAAGTCAGTATCACTCATTCTTTCACATGCTGCAGTTACGTGTAAGTCTTGTGTACAAATATGACACCCTCACAGTTACTCTACATATAGTCAGACAAAACTGTGAGAGCCTTTCAAGTAATGTACATATTGAAAACTTTTATAATGCGGAATGGGCTGGAGCGATAGCACAGAGGGTAGGGTGTTTGCCTTGCACACGGCTGACCCAGGTTCAATTCTTCCGTCCCTCTCGGAGAGCCTGGCAAGCTACCGAGTATCCTGCCCGCACGGCAGAGCCTGGCAAGCTCCCCATGGCGTATTCAATATGCCAAAACCAGTAACAACAAGTCTCACAATGGAGACGTTACTGGTGCCCACTAGAGCAAACTGATGAACAACGGGAGCCCAGTGCTACAGTGCTACATAATGCAGAATACATTAAGTGAAATTTAACACATCTTTTAAGGTCTTTTCTATTTTGGGTCAAACCAGAGAAGTTGGGGGATTGCTCCCCGTTCTGTCTGGGGGTGATCCCAGCGGTGCTCAGGGAACCAGAGGGGCTGGAGCCCAGACCTGGGTCTCCTGCATGTGAAGCCCGTGCGCGGCCTGTTGTGTGAGCTCTCTCCAGTCCAAAAGAGGTTTTTTCTCACTGGCGATATTGCATACCACATTTGCTTCCTCTTGCTTTTATAGAAAACATAAATTAACTGTGAAAAACTGGAAAACCAGAAACCGATACAAAGAAGAAATATGCAACAATCATGAAATCTCCCATTCACGGATAACCAGAGCTCACATTTGAGGACCTTTCCTTCTCATTATTTCACATATTTAACTTGGATGAAGTAACAGACAAACAATGTTTGCACCCTGAATTCTCCACTTAAATAAATTTTAGTGGTCATATTACCAGTACTTATATGGAAATGACCAAATAAATCTACTGCTTGATTGTTGGAGTTGACTTATTTCCTTCTTTTAATACAATTTTACTGATTTAAAAGTGAGTGTTAGGATAAACCGCTTTGGGAGTATTGTTTTCTATGTCCGTAGTGATCTCAGAAGAATCACTGCGGCGAAGAGACGAAAACTATTAGGACAATTAAGGCACCGACTAGTCAACCAGTCAAGGGAAGCTCACATACCCTTAGAAAAAATACACGATCTAAAACAGCAAGCCATCCCTCTGCCCCTACTTGCAGAACAAATACTCAGGGTTGAGGGATGTGGTCCAAAAGGTTGAGTACTTGCCTTGAGTACTTGTCCTGGCACTGCCATCTGTGACTCCCAGCACCACAGCTCGGGGCTCTTTACTTTCTACTTAGAATGAAGTAAGCCTCACCTAGTTATGAAGCACGATTTGTGTCATCCGATGTGTACCCAAGACCACAGAGCTGAAGTGAAAATATTTATAATTCACTTCCACACATCTGAGTGTGTGGATTATCACTAAGAGTTTAAGCCCGAATAAAGTGCCCCATTCTTTTTTTTAAATTTTTATTAATTTTTATTAGTGAAACACCATGAGGTACAGTTGTAGATTTACAAATTTTTGTGGTTGGGTTTCGATTATACAAAGATCAAATACCTATCCCTCCACCAGTGCCCATTTTCCACCACCATGGATCTCAGTATCCCTCCCACCCCTATCCCCCTCATCCCACCCTGCCTCTGTGGCAGTCAAGTGCCCCATTCTTTATCTTCTCTACCACTCAGTGTCTATTCAAGGAGTATAAACGCTTTATCCCCATGGAATATATATTTGGTTTAAGATAATGATTCCCCAACCAGTCACAGGTATGTTAACTCACCATTTTATATCAAATAGGATACTACAGATCCCTCCCTTAGTTAAAAAAAAAAAAAGACACTGAGAAGGGGAGACAGAATACTGAATAATAGTTAATGTATGTGGTTATCAACTAAAGCCTCATACTATTAAGAGATCAAGTTTCTCCCAATTAAGTTACTCTGGAACAATTTTAAACACACAAATGCACAGACTCATGTGTGCTATCATGCGTGCTATATAAAAGTATGGCTGCTTCACTGAATTAGGTAATTGAGGGAAAAGCTCGCACAGCAACTTTAGAGTTTTAACTAGAAGGAAAATAACAAAAGAGAA